TTCTTTCTATTTGAAAAAAAGAAGAAATTTAAATAACAGAAAAAAGGAAGAAATACTAAATTGAAAATAATAGAGAAAAGAAAAAAAAATTTCATATTATTCGTGAAAACAAGAAAAATTTTCAAATTCATTTTTTATAATTTATACAATTTTTGCAATTGAAACCAATAGAATAGAAAAGAAATTTATTTCACGCTATTTGGGAAAACGGGAAAATTTATATTACGATTTAAAACTAATAGTAAAGAAAAGAAATTTCCACCCAAAGGAAAATTAGAAACTAGTCTCTAAATTTAAATTAGTAAAAATATTTGCAAATTTGCATTTGTGACTGACATTTTGTTCTTGAATAAGTAAATTTTACTAACAAAATTAGTAAAAGTTACTATTTATTAGTAAAATTTACTAAGAAAATAGTAGAACATACTGTTTATGTTTGTGAAATTTACTAACAAAAATTGTAGAAATTACTATTTGTTAGTAAAATTTACTATTTAATAAAATTAATTTTAAAATTATTAAATTTATTACAATTTATTTATTAAAATTAGCAGAAAATACTATTTATTAGTAAAATTTCTTAACAAAATAGTAGAACATACTGTTTATATTTGTAAAATGTACTAACAAATTTACTAACAAAAATAGTAGAAATTACTTTTTGTTAGTAAAATTTACTATTTATTAAAAATTATTTTAAAATTATTAAATTTATTACAATTTATTTATTGAAATTTATTAAAATTAGTAGAAAATACTAATTATTAGTAAAATTTACTAACAAAATAGTAGAAAATACTGTTTATTTGTAACATTTACTAACAAATTAGTAGAAATTCCTATTTATTAGTAAAATTTATTAACAAATTTACTTACAAAGTAGTAAAAAATACAATTTATTAGTAAAATTTACTTACAAATTTAGAAACAAATTAAGTAAAAATTACTATTTATTAGTAAAATTTACTAACAAATTTACTAAGAAATAAGTAGACATTTTCCTTTATTTTTGTTTATGAATCACAATTTTTTTTTTTAAATTATTATTTTGTTTTAGAAAAAAAAGAAAAATATTTGTACATTTTCTATTTTTAATCTTATTTTTGGAACAGGATTTTCCATGAAAATTAAGATTCACAAAAAATTTCAAATTCCAACCTTTTTTAAATTAAACACCTTATAAAGGAATTGTTATAAAACATGAAGATACCGATTGCTCCGAGTCGAAGACTCGGAGTGATCGATTTCTTCATGTTTTCTAATAATTAAAGATGACCGAGAGATAAAATCATTATTTTACATTATAAGAATATTGTTACTGTAACTTCATCAAAATTATTTTTATTATTTTAATTCAAATAATTATTTTCTAGAATTTTAAATTATTTTTTATAAAAATAATTGAATTCCTGTGAAATTTTTGTTATTTATGAAAATAATTAAACGTTTGCATACAATTTTATTAAAATTTTTTAAAAATAATTGAATTCTTTTTGGGAAATTTTATCAAATTTATCAATAGTAAATATTGAAAATAATTGAAATTGGAAAAATTTTTGAAATAGTTTTGAAATTTGGACAACAATTTTTTTGACATTGGAAAGAAACTTGTAATTTATAAAGATAATTGGGATTTTAACGAGAATTTTTTTCAAATTTTGAACATAGTTGAATTTTGTAAGAAGAGTTTTATTATTATTATTTTTTTTTTTGAAAATAATTGAATTTCTGCAATTATTTGTAATTTCTTCAAAATTAAATTTTTTTAAATTTTTTCTACAAAAATTTAAATTAGAAATTTTTAAATTCTATTTTTTTTAAAATTGATAATTTTATTTTAAAAAGGCAGCAAGAAGTTAGCCGCGCGCTTTAGAACGCAAATTGTTGCTAGTTTCTATTTATTAGAAAAATTTTTTAACAGATTTACTTACAAATTAGTAGAAATTACTATTTATTAGTAAAATTTGCTAACAAATTTACTATCAAATTAGTAGAAATTACTATTAATTAGTAAAATTCCCCAATCCAAAAGCAAAAAGTCAATATCAGTAATTGAAACGAAAAAAATACTAATTTAAATTTGCAGAATAGTAAAAGAAAAAAAAACAAAAAATTAATTCATGCTACTTCAGTAAAGAAGTATTTTTACCATTTTTGTTTATATTTATAAAAAAAGAATAAAATTAAACATTTTGGAACTAAAATCGTAAAAGTTTGTTTAGATAATAATAAAATGAGTTTGCTGCATACAGAATTCAAGAACATGTGGTACGTTTTATTGACGACTCTCGTCAGATTTTTTGATTTGAGTTATGAATTTCCATTTTCCACTATGTGTAAAATAACGAATAAAATATTATTTTCCCAATTATGTAACTTTTGAGAAAAAATATAATTTAGCAAAAAAAAAAAATTATTTATCGTACCTACTGAATAAATTAATATAAAACGTAAGAAAAATATTTTTATACTTTTTATTAATTATCCACAAAATTGACTTATTTTTCAATTTCGAATCAAGTTTACGATTGATTTAGTAACAAAATTTTCCCAGTGTATCATTTTAGTTAACATCCAGATTCGATTTTGAATAGCGGTTTTTGCGATACAATGAATTTTGGGTGAAATTGAATTAATTATATAATAATAATAATAATAATGATGATGATGATAATAATAGTATATTCGGTTTTTGTATTAACTATATGTATAATAGGTAGATGGTAAAATTTATTCATATATCAATTTTCATGTTCAATAATTATTACACAATTAAGTTGTTCTCTGTGACATTTTATTGATTTTCAACCTCTGGAATTCATTGAAACACATTTGAATTTTCCAGTAACTTTCAAAGAATTTATCGAAAATGGCCGGCATTTGAAAATTCTACAGAATTCTGTTTGAAAATTAATTTTGAAGGCGGAAAAAAAACCTTTTGCAATTCTCTGTAATTAACAAATTTTCGGGTTGATTTTTTATTTTTATTTTTTTTATTTTTATTTTTTTTTTTTTTGCTGTACATTTTATTAAAAATCTGTTTTAGTAGAAAATTCAAGTTTTGTCTGACTTTATTTGTTTTTTATTACTGAAATTTTTTCGGGATATTGAATATTACAAATTTTGTAAAAAAAAAATGGACGTTTGGGAACTGAGAGAAATATTTCGAAAGCTGAAAGCTGAATTTTGGCTGAATAATATTGACTTCCACTACTTGACTAAAATCTAAAAAAGAATAATGTCTGACTATTTTTGACTTTCACTACTCACACGAAAAATAAAAATGTCTGACTGTAGACGACTTTAACTACTGAAAAACTACAAAATAAGAATTTGGTCGGAATAATATTGACTTCTACTACTGATAATAAAAGCATAAACCATAAAACTGTCTGACTGTTGGCGACTTTTACTACTGACTCGAAAAATAAATATGTCTGATTGTAGACGACTTTTGCTACTTAAAAAATGTGTTTCAAGGAATTGGTCTGAATAATATAAACTTTTACTACTGATGAAAAAAGAGAAAAAACAAAAAAGCAAATTCATTCTGTCCGACTATTATCGACTATTACTACTGATAACAAATGCGTAAATTTAAGATTGTCTGACTAATATTAACTGTTACTACTGAATTAAAAATTTAGTCTGACTATACATGAATTTTACTACTGATGACAAAATTATAACTTTAAAACACAGTCTGACTATTTTTGACTTTTACTACTGCCAACAAAAATAAAAATGTCTGATTATAGACGACTTTAACTACTGTGAAAACGTAAAATAAGAATTTTGTCTGAAAAATATTGACTTCTACTACTGACAATAAAAGCGTAAACAAAGGCATAAATTGAAGATTGTCTGACTAGTTTTGACTTTTACTACTGACAACAAAAATAAAAATGTCTGATTATAGACGACATTAACTACTGACACAAAAATTTATAGTCTGACTATAAATGAATTTTACTACTGATGATACAAATGTAAATTATAAACACTGTCTGACTGTTTTCGACTTTTATTTTAATACTGTCGTAAAAATTTGAAGAACTACTTTAACTATTCTGCAATTAACCAAATTTAAAATTTCGTCTGACTAATGTCGACCTTTACTACTGAAAATAAATTCCAATTTTCTCAATCTATGTTCTAAAAACAGTTCTAGTAATAAATTGTAGTTACTAAATTTTCATAATTACATAATATTATTTACCGTACATGTAGATATAATTTTTTTAAAATATAATTTTTTTAAAATACAATTTAATTTAAATACAATTTAATTTCCAATAAAATTTTAATTAAAATTAATTAAAAAAAATTGTATTAACAAAAAATTTTTTTTTTTTTGTTTATAGATTCGAAGGAAACAAAGTGAGTTTACTGCTGGCAAGAATGAGTGCAATCATTAATGAGGAATCATCAAAATATTTATCGAGTCGATAGTTGTATGCTAAGAGTAATGTATCTCTCAAAGTTATCCGCCCACCAAAGAGCTCCAAGAGGAATTGGATCTGACCGAGACAATCGTCACGTCACCTCTCGAGAATCCTGAAATATGCCTTCCACCAGGAAGCGACGGGTCGCCTTTTTCCAAGAACATAAAAAGTCTCTTTTGTTTAAATAAAGTAAAATAAAGTAAAAAAAAGGGGAAAAAGTAAAATTAGGTAAAAAGAGCAAAAAAAAGTAAAATAAAGTGAAATAAAGGGAAAAAAAGTGAAATAGAGTTAAATAAAGTAAAATAAAGTTGAATAAAGTAAAATAAAGTAATATGAATTAAAATGAAGTAAAATGAAGTAAAATGAAGTAAAATAAAGTAAAATGAAGCAAAACGAAGTAAATTAAAGTAAAATGAAGTAAATTAAACTAAAACGAAGTAAATTAAACTAAAACGAAGTAAATTAAAGTAAAATAAAGTGAAATGAATCAAAATAAAGTAAAATAACTCAAAATGAAGTAGAATAAATCAAAATAGTTGTTTACAAAACAAAAAAGAAGAAAAATCGTGAACGAAAGGAAAAAAATTTAATTTTTTAAAAAGACTGAAAAGAAGAGGAGGAGAAAGGAAAAATAAGAAAAAAAATAAAAAAAAGTGATGTCGGACCCCATGGTCTAAATAAAGGGGGTCTCCTTGCTCCTCTGAAGGGTGAAGAGTCCCCCCCCCTCCCCACTGTTGGAAGGATGTTTCACCCGGTGTTCTGACTGCCTATGGATATATTCGGCCGTTGTAACGGCGTTGGTGGTAGTACGGTAACCGGAAGTGGCGTTGGTACCGCTAGAGTAGTGACAAATTCAGAATCGGGTAGTGGTACTGGTGTCGCGAGTGGAACTTCAAGTGGAACTGTGGATAGCAGTGGAACCGGAACCGGAAGCAGAATGCAGTTAACTGGAGCATCGGCACCTGGAGCGGCAGCTTCTCCAGAATCGGGGGTTTCTCCATTGGCCGATGCCTATACAAAAATGACAAGTGATATTTTGGCTGAAAGAACATTGGGTGATTCGGCTGGTTTATGGGGCGGTGAACATTCTGGAGAATTGGTGAGAACCGGTGAGTTGAAAAAAAATTTATTTGACTAAAGAAAATTCAAATTAATTAAAAAAAAATTTACTTTAAAAATACTGAAATAAAAATTTTCAAAGATCGACTTAGATACTTGACATTCTCTATACTGATTTTAAAGGTGGAAATCGAGAACCGTGTCTTACTATTATTGACTTTTACTACTGTAAAACTGAAATTAAAGAATTTTGTCTGAACGATATTGACTTATACTACTTATTTTTAATACTTTTACTACTGAATCCAGAAACCAGTCCGACTAATATTGACTTTTACTACTTGTATACAAAAATAAAATGTCTAATTTTAGACGATGTGAACTAATATAAAACTGAAAATTTTATGATTTATTTATTAAATAATTCAAAAGTCTGACTGGATATGAATTTTTCTACTAATAACAAAACTAAAAATGAAGGAGTTGGATTAATAAGCGTTGACTTTTACTACTGAAACGTAAAAAATTCTGACTGTAGTTGACTTTTAATGCTGCTTATAAAATATATCGAGACACATGTCTGACTTACGTTGACTTTTACTACTGAAATCAAAAATCAAAACGTCTGACTGACTGCTGCGAAACTTGAAATAAATTTTTACTACTGATTTTAAAAGTGTAAATCTGGAATAAAGTCTGACTATTATAGACTTTTATCACTGATGACAAAAGTTTAATTTAAATTGAGGTTGACTTATACTACTGATGGAAAAATTGGAAATCAACTACTCAGGCTGACTAGTCATCACTAGTCATCATTTACTACTTACATTAATATTTAAAATGTCTGACTACAAATGATTTTTGCTACTAATGACAAAATTGTAAATTAAGGAGTCGGATTCACAAACGTTGACTTTCACTACTGAAACATAAAAAATTCGGACTGTCGTTGACTTTTACTACTGAAACGTAAAAAATTTTGACTGTCGTTGACTTTTACTACTGAAATTAAAAATCAAAACTTTTGACTTTGGAAGACTTCTATTGCTGCGAAACTTTAAGTAAAAAATTCGAAGACAGAAATATTGACTTTTACTACTGATTTTGAAAGTGTAAATCTGGTATAAGGTCTGACTACTATTGACTTTTATCACTGATAACAAAAGTTGAATTTGAAGTTGACTTGTACTACTGATGGAAAAACTGGAAATTAATTACTCAGGCTGACTAGTGTTGGCACTTACTACTTTCATAAATATTTAAAATATAAATGTGGAATCAAGTCTGATTATTATTGACTTTTACTACTGACAGAAATATTTATGAATTTTTACTATACTTGAGTTTTACTATTGACATAAATACTTAAAAAGTTTGACTATACTTGACTTTTACTACTGACACGAATATTAAAAAAGTTTGACTATACTTGACTTTTATCACTGACACGAATATTTAAAAAGTCTGACTATACTTGACTTTTACTACTGATTTTGTGTAAATCGAAAATGTCTGACTATTATTGACTTTTACTACTGTTACGAAAATTTAAAATGCCTGACAGAAGACGACTTTTACTACTGAAAACTGCATGACAAAAATTTGGTCTGAATAATATTCACTTTTACTACTAGTGACAAAAAAGGCAAATCCAGAGTCCAGGCTGACTTTTATTGACTTTTACTACTGAAATAAACATTTTAAGATAATTAATATTTGCAGACTATCCTATAAAAACTATTAATTAGAATATTTCGCTAATATTGTTAAAATATTTCCAGGCAATATTGCCTATGACTCAAATTTTTTTCTGACGTAGATTATTATAAACGACAAGAAAGTATAAAGTACAGGATTAAAAATAAAAGACAATAAATAAAGTAAAATTGTAAATAAAATAGAATTAATAAAGTACAATTTGTAAATAAAATAGAATTAATAAAGTACAATTGTAAATAAAATAGAATTAATAAAGTAAAATTGTAAATAAAATAAAATAGATAAAGTAAAATTGTAAAAAAAAATAAAATAAATAAAGTAAAAAGAAAAGTTTACTAAAGAGAAATTGTATCATATTTGAAAATAAATTCGCTTTTTGATTAATTCTACATTCTTGTATGCATTGTTTGATTAAAGGATCACCGCATTTGGTGTGCACGGTTTTACCGGTTCATTGGAGGTCGAATAAAACGCTTCCGCAGGCATTTAAGGTCGTAGCCCTTGGCGAAGTTGGGGACGGAACCTTGGTAACAGTTAGGGCTGGAAATGACGAGAATTGTTGCGCCGAACTTCGAAACTCCACCGCCTTGATGAAAAATCAAGTAGCTAAATTCAACGATCTTAGGTTCGTCGGCAGAAGTGGAAGAGGCGAGTACATTATAACTTTACCTATTTACTATTATTTACCTATTTATTTCTTTTCTTAAAATTTAACCTGTTAACTACTTTTTATAATATACAATTTAAAAAAGTTTTTGTATTTTAAATTTTTCTTTTAAAATTCTAAAATGTTTATTATTTAAAAATATTTCTCTGCTCTCACCCTGTGTACTTGTGTCCACCCTAAGTAGACATGGGGACAAGTACAAAATTTATTTGTCAATTTAAAAAAAATACAAACAAAGGTATTATTTGCCAGAGTTAAATATTGGGAGTATTTTAAAAATTGAAGTAGAATTAATAAATTGTCGATTTATTGGGTTTTTAGGGGAATGAGAGAGAGAGAGAGAGAGAGAGAAAGGGGGAAAAAAGAGAGAAATCACGGTGTGAGTGTCGACAGAACCACGATTCAGAATGTTTTGTGGCTTAATAGAAGGTGGGTTCATTCATAAAACTTGAAAGTCGACCCCTCTGTTGACAGAATTCCACACAGAGGGGATGAAATTGAGGATAAGGATGATAAGAGTGCGGTGAGAGGGTATAGGAAAGTTAAGACGTAAAGAAAGACGTTCAAAGAATATTTCCCTCGAATTAAGGGGTAGGTCATGGTTTAGCCCTCGTTCCTGTTTTCCTCTTTCTCTTTTTCTCTCTTTCTGAGCTCTCTTTCTCAAGAGAGAAAAGTCCCGTCTTCTCTCCACTCAATATAACAGGCAAACGGTAGTGTGAGACTAAAACTGCGACGTCTTCAAGAATTGGGAGTGGGTAATGGGTTTTATTTGTCCGCACAACTACCAACACCACTGATGGTTTCACTTTAACTCTTCCTAGTTTAGTTTGAACGAAGAAAGGGGTTGGAAGAAGCGGGACCGGAACGATGATATTAATTGAGGTTTCAGGCGCGGGTTTTAATTAACGTTATTAGCACCGGAATTTCAACGTCGCTACAACTTTGACTTCCAACAGAGGATAAATTATTTCACTTTGTTAGTCTGATTATTGCCGTACATCCTAAATATACCCTTCAACTTTACTTAAATTTACCTCCCATGTATGTTACCGTGATGATTAAAATTTTCCCTATTAATTTTATCAAAAAAAAAAGAAAAAAGAAATTCTTTTTATTATAGAAAAAAGAAATTGAATTTTTTTTTATTCTAAAAAATGAAATTGAAATTCTTTTTATTATAAAAAAAAAGAAATTGAAATTCTTTTTATTTTAGGAAAATATAAAATTAAAACCAATTTTGTTCCTTCTTACAGGAAAAAGTCAAGGATTTTTATTAAAAGTGGTGGGAAAAATTTAATTTTGTAGAATTCATAGGAAAATTCTGAATATTTGTGTCTTTTTTTGTTTGCCTCATAAACTACGAAATTACCACGAATTCTAATATAAAACTTTCAAATTTTTCTATTTCTGACAATAATTTCAATTATGTTCAAAATTTACAAAAAAATTTTGACAAAATCCTAATTATTATCTTCATAAATGAAAAAAATTCTCCTTTAAAATTTAATTATTTTCAAAAATTTTAATAAAATTCTTGTCAAAATTTCAATCATTTTCAAAAAATTTCCTAAATTCAATGATTTTCAAGATCCACTATATTTTAAATAAAATTTTCCAAAAGAATTCAATTATTTAAACAAAATTTTGATGAAAAGTAATAAAATTGAATTTGAATTTGAATTTTTCTAAAATTAAAATGTGTTTAAAAGTTTGAAAAAATCCTCGTCAAAATTTTAATTACCTTCATAAATAATCAAATTCTTCTTTTAAATAAAATTATTTTCAAAAATTTTAATAAAATTATTTTTTAATATTTTAATAAAATTCATGGCAAAATTGTAAATATGTTCAAAATTTTACCTCAATTAAATGTTTTTCAAGATCTACTGTATTTTTAATAAAATTTTCCAAAATAATTCAATTATTTAAACAAAATTTTGATGAAATTCTACGCAATCATTCAATTATATACAAAAATAATAAAAATTTAACAGGAATTCAATTATTTTTATAAATAATACAATATTTTTAGGAATTTAATTATTTTCATTACTAATAAAACTCTTGGCAGAATTTCAATTATATTTAATACAATTTTAATCAAATTCCTCAAAAAATGTACACAGAGAAAAGCGAGTGTTGTTTTTGATGCGGGTAAATTTTGGTAGGGTAATTTTAGTGAGGATAAATTTTCTATAATAGAAAATTTACCTTATTTTCGGTGTTAAAATAACACTTCCGAGCTAAAGTTTGATGCAGACACTTTTAACACCGAATTCAGTGTTAAAATAACACTCACTTTTTTCTGTGTAATTATTCTCAAAAATTATATTAAAATTCTTTAAAAGAATTCAATTTTTTAAAAATTTGTTGATAAAATTCTTTATGAGAATTCAATTTTAAGAAACATTAAATTATTTAATAAATTTATATTTTCGTATTTAAATAATTCAATTCTCGTAGAATTTTTTAAAAAAGTTGATTTAAATATAAATTTCAGTTAAAATTTTAGATTATAACTGAATATTAAAAACATTATGGGGTAAATTTTTAGAAATAATTGAATTTTGTAAAGGTTTCAAATTAAAATTGTTTTAAATTTGAATTTTTCATACTTTTAATAAAAAAAAAATTCTGTAGAATTAATTTTTTTGAAATAGTTTATTTGAATTTTTTTTTAAAATGATTTGAAATATCTATTTTCTGATATTTATATTTAATTAAAAAATCTCCGAATAATCGAAATTTCGTAAAATTTAATTGTAAACTAATTAATTTGAAAATTGTAAAAAAAAACTTTTTCAAAAATTATTAAAAATAATTGATTTAGAGAAAAATTTTAGTTAAAAATTTAAAAAAAAAATGTTTGTAAAAAAGAAGTTATTGATGTTTTTGAATAGTTTTATAATTAAAGGAATTCTTAAATAAATATGTAACAGAACATTTTTTTAAGTAAAATTTTTTCCTTCATTTTCTAAAACTTCAAAAATATTCAATTTCACTTTCAGTTAAAATTTGCAATTTTTAATATTTAATTTGTAATCATAATTTTTTAAAAATTTTCTAATTTTCTAATTTTCTAATTTCAAATATTACTTTATTATAAATAATAGTAATAATTCCTTCTTACATGTATCTATCTTTTTTCCTTCTTTTTCTTTCTTTTTTTCTTTCTTTTTTCCCTTTTTTTTCTTTCTTTCTCAATTTTTTCTTTTTCTTAATTAAATTTATTTTCGAATTGATTATATTGAAAAGAGAATGTTTTCTTAAGCTCTCTCTCTCTCAACGAGCTGAAAATGCATCGCGTGTCGGGTTTAGGGAATAGTTAGGCATTCACGATAGTACTGGAGAATAATCAAGCAGCTAAGGAACCGTAGGATCTGTCAGGAGAGAGACTTCTCTTACATCCTTCATCCTAGCTTATGTTAATTCCATACCCAGTGAAAACAATTGAGAGCTAATCCCAGACAAATGACTGACGTGCTTCTTCCATGAAAATCGAAGGGGGAAAAACAGATTCTGACGGTCTATCAAAAACTTGAAAATCTTCTAAAAACTTTTTCATTCTTCTCATTAATTTTTCAAATTTATCGAATTTAGTATATCAATGGACAATTATTAATTTTTTGTCCTCATCTTTTATTTTTAATTCTGACTGAATTTTGTTGAAGCCACTTACAACGCATAATCAACACTCTACATATCGTCAAAATTCATTATGGTGTTGCCTATCAAAAGGGTTTAGATTAATTCCACCCTAGACAGTTCTAAGCTCTTTAACGAGATGGATCATTTGGACTATAGTTTCCAACTCGAAGTTCTTCTCCGAAATTTTCTACTATAATTCACGTGCGATCACTAAAATTCTCTATTTTTTTAAAAATGAGTTTTATTAATATTAAATATTTATTTAGTTTTTTTTACTCTCAAAATTTTAGGTAGTAAAAATGTTTAATAATTTGAATTAGTGAATGACTTTTTTGCTTTTTAATTAGTAAATTTTACTAATAAAGTAGTAGAAGGTATTATTTATTAGTAAAACTATTTACTATTTACATTTACTAATTCAACAGCAAAAAGTCAGTCACTAATTCAAATTAGTAAACATTTTTACTAATTTAAATTTAGGGAGTAATTAACTATTTTTTCTCTCTAAAAAAGAATTCGAGTTAATAATAATAATAATAAATTATTAATAGTAATTAAATATAAATAATTAAATAGTAAATGGTAAATAGAAAATAGAAAATAGTAAATAGTAATTAATAATTAATAATTAATAATTAATACGTTTTTTATAAACAAACTTAACTTTTTTAGCATTAAATAGTGAAATTTATTTTTACTGCAATTAAATGGAACAATTTATATTATTCTCTCCCTGGGGGCACTTTATATAAATTTTCGAGTTTTCGGGAAGAAAAAAAAATTTGTATTTGTGACGTGTCCTTGTATACACGACAGAGCCATTCGGACAATAATTAATTTGACATTAAACTATAATCGAGCAGTTGCTGCTTGTTCGAGGGAAAATTGAAATTAATTAATTGTCCCTGCAGTGCGCTCTTCTCTAAAGAGATATAGAGAGAAGGACGATAATGGATATAATCATTTTGAAAATGTTGACAATTACTGTTGCGAATAAGTTCAACAAGAGAAAAAAAAAACTGATTCCTGTATAGAATTCAAATAATAATTTTATATTATTTTTGCTTTACTTTCAGTATTATTTGCAAATTTTGAATTTAAATTTAGCAAAAATGCTTATAAGTAAACTTGCAACTTTTTTTTTTTGCTGAAATAAAATATTTAAAATGTCTGACTAAAATGTATTTTACTACTGATGAAAAAAGTGGAAATTAAGGATACGGTCTGACTTAAGTCTGACTGTCACTACTGCTTGTAAAATAGATGGAGAATCGTGTCTGACTTGCGTTGACTTTTACTACTTAGACAATAATTCAAAAAGGTCTGAGTGACG